TAATTGAATGACAAGCTAATATATTACTAAAAATTCCCCACTAGAGCATTTGCTGCTTTCCTGATCCTTTTCATTTTCTCCAGGTCTGCTGGAGGAAGGCATCTGGCAGAAATAAGATGGGTGGTTAAAAGTAATGGGCGAAAAAAGCAATAACTCTGTTGAAGGAAGCAAAGACATCTATGATTTCTGGTCTGCAATCCGTTTATGTCTGCAATGTCTGTTTAGAGACATCTAATCTAACACAGAAGTACATGCTATCACAAATGTCATTATCTGTGTGAAAGATTTTTATATGGAAAGTTTGGATAAAAGTGATATAAGTGATTTTTCTCAAGAGTTTGTAAAAACAACAAGCGCTACCTAAAACAAAGATAAGCATATTAAGCAGTTCTGTCTACCATAGTTCTCCTAATCATACTCTGTATCAAAAAAGCCATTCTTATCAAGAGCTCCATTGCCTATATTAATTAACTGAAAAACTCCTATCAATCTAGTTTGATCTGTGATGACTCCATGGAGAGAGACATAGACAGATACAGGGAGAGAATGAGGAGGAGCGGGAATGAGTGAGTAAGAGAGAGGTCTTATACAAACCATCAGAATGTTTTCTAATGTAGACTATGCTTTCTCAGCCCGATTTTCTTCAGGCGTTTTTAAACTACAGTTTCTAAATCTTCCAGTTAATTGTCCCTACACAATTATAATTGCTGAAGGAACTGTCACATCACATCAAAATCTTTTCTGCAAGTGATGCTTGAATTTAATTTTTAGGCTCCTTATTTTTCTCCTGACACATTGCTTATGTTTGCAATCTGGATTAGCTCAGTGTTACATTGGTTTTACAAATGGCTTCTTTTGCTTCCTATACTGCATTATTAACGTTCATAATGACATTTGGGGCTGTGAAAATGCCCTGAAGCTTGTAGTTCAGTTTTCTTACTTATGATAAAAAAAGCTACATTTAGCCTCATTGACGAAGCCTGTGACTCTGTGTGATTTCCAGTGATGCTTGACCCCATGGAACTGTTTACATTCTCACAGGGACAAAGAAGCTCTCCACATCCAGAGCCAAGACTCCACACCTAGAGGTGTTTCTCCAGCTTCCTCCAAACGAAGCTATTGTTCTGGAAACACACTGCAGCCGTTGAAGCCAAATGAAGCCAACTTTATCTTTCAAGAGCCAGGTCCAGTCAGGGAAGGGGCACTTGAATATTCTTCTTCTCAACTTCCAGAGGCTTCTAATGTAAAAATGCTTCCTGCTCCTCTTCAATCTCCATTTCCAATCAGTCTGGCTGTCCCTAGCATGAAGACTGAAGCCGTCAGTGTGGAGTTGTCTCAAGAAACCCACTTTCCTTTTCTTTCTGCTGAAGGGCACGAGTGTCTCTCATGCCCAGAAAGAGAGGATAGGCTGACCTCTTGCAACCCTGGTGGTCTCTGCTCACCAGAATACACATTTTCCTCTGACAGCAGCTTTTCTGTAGATTTTTCTCCTTTATTTGCAGAAAGGCCATCTCTAGGATTGTTTCCAACAATGAACGTGAGCCCTGATTCAGACAGATGGGCCATCAGTATGCTAGCTGATCAAATCTACTCCCTGGCTGAAGTCTTCTCTCAATACACCAAGCAAAGGTCTCAGGAATCTCTTGGCGTTCCCTGGCCTGGGCATCCTGCTGAGGCTGCCCCTCTAGTGGCAAGACAGGACATGGGGACTAATGGAGCCATTGACTTTTCAGAAGAAACATCAGTGGATGAAGAAACCATCACCAGTATTTTAAACAACTTCTCAGATCACGATGCCCAGAACCAAAGCAGTTTTGAACAGAGACCAACAGGCCATTTTCACTTAGCAAATACCCAGTTGCAGCTTTCTATGTCCCAGACTCTTGTGCCAGAAACAACTCCTTTGTCTTTCTCTGTATCATCTGACTTTGATCTGCCTGATTTCCAGTGGGATGGGAAATTCTATAACATGCATCAGCAAGGTATGGCTCCCCTGTTATCACAGTAGTACCATTTAAAAAGAATACCATCACTGAAGTAATACGATCCTACACAGACTTTATCATGTTTGACTAGCATCTGATTGGTTGGGTTTTTTTTTAATGAAATCTACCATGTGTATTCTATCTCGCTGTGTGTACACACACACACACACCACTGCTTTCTTTTAGGGTAAACAATATTATGCAAAAATGAAGAAAAAGAATATGTGATAGTAAGTCAAAGAATTTAACAGTTATAAGAGAAGAAAAAGAATGGGGAACAGAACTTATCACTTATTCAGTGAAGATTTCTACATTTTTACACATTCTCAACCATCAACATGACACTGGTTCATACCTTTTTAAATGCTCATACTTTCAGTCTTAATCACTTCAAAACTTTCCTGCAGTTCTATTCCACAAATTCAGATTATCTTCATTCAGATTACTACATTATTTCCCTTTTACAAGTTAATACAGTATATTTTTTTCATTTCATTAAATCATGTTATCATTTGTCTTACATCCCAAATCAGTCTTCCTTATGCCATAGTCTTCACCACGTAGACCCATAGATGTTGATTTTTACTGCCCATCATAGACTCTTGATTAATAGAGTCTATCATATAATGCTTTTAATAAGATAACATGCAGATTAAGTTTCCAGACTTAATCATACCCATTTCACATTGAACATTCCCTGCTCATAGTAAGAACAGTTTGTTTGTTTTTAATTATTTACTTGTATCTGACACTTGGTGACTCTATAGGCAAGCGTTCTCCATGCTATCTTGTCAAGCACAGCTTCTTTCAATTGTTATATGTTCAACTTTGTATCAGATTTGATGTTATGAAGCCAGCATGTTGTTTCCTTGCCCCTTCTTTGTCCACTAACTATTCCTAAACATCTCTAATGAATGTGCATGCATAATATGGCCAATATACTTTAATAATACCATAAGAATACCGTAAAAACAGTATTAGGCAATTTTGGTCTATTTAGCACAACATGTTCATATTACTTTAAGCAAGAGGGATCTCTATTCGAAGCACTATCTTACAAGTGAACACGCTGTTGCCTGCATCTTATGATGTAGGGGGGTCATATACAGTATAAATAATGCACATCCAGGATTCTCCCCCATTCTTGGAGAAGACATTGTAGCTACATGCTGTCAAACAATCACTGTGGTCTGTAAATCATGGTTTATTTCAGGAAATGCGCAACCTGAAGCCTAAGGTTGCAGGCAGCTCATGAGTTCACCCCCAACTTTTTTCTTTTTCTTTTGCATTCCTTGGAACAATTTACGAACACGGTGGCCAAAACCTGGTATCATTTCAGGCATTTTACAGAATAAAATTCAAACATTAAAGTCCAACGTAGGGTTAATATAATTTATAAGCAAGCAAAACCTTGAAATTTCCCCTCCCAGAATTCTATATCTGTTTATTTTGTACAAGTCACAATTCTACAGATATATTTATAGAGCCAGTTTCAGGTGGATTATTTATCTCACCCAGCAACCTGTCACTTTCATTTGCCTGAAAATCTGATAAGATCCAAATGAGAAGAAGTAAGGATAGAATTATTCTAACTGGTTATGATATAAACTACCCAGTCTTTGGATTGGGTAGTGTATAAACGTGTGAAAATAAAGGTATATGTATATTGAAAAAGAGATTTCTCCCCCATTCTTGGAGAAAGACATTGTAGCTACATGCTGTCAAATAAAACATTGCTTAGGTTTGTTAGATGACACTTCTGGAGAGAACACAGTGGGTCCTGAACTGAGAGGATTTGCCATGGTACTTCGCTGCAGCAAAACTCATAAGAGCTTATGACAGGTTAAAACTCTGCCAGCATATTCTCCCTAAGATTTTGTTGCAAGCAAGTTGCATCTTTGGTCATGCAGGGTTGATTTTTAGAAATAGGAGAAATCAGTATTTTGCTGAAAGAATGCCTCTAAGATATGCCTGAGAAGAAATTAGGGACTCATAGGAATACAGGTTCAAAGTTCATTTGAAGTTACAACGGCACTGAAAAAAGTGACTTATAACCATTCTTCATACTTATATGAAGAAGAAAAGTGACTTATGACCATTGCAGCATCCCCCTGGTCATGTGATTTACATTTGGGCGCTTGACAACTGATTCCTATTTATGGCAGCTGCCGTGTCCTTGGGTCATGTGATCCCATTTTGCGACCTTCTGGCAAGCAAAGTCAATGAGGAAGCCAGATTCACTTAACAATGGTGTTACTAATGAAACCACCACAGCGGTAACACTTAAGAAATGTGGCAAGACACGTCTTAACATGGGGGGGGGGGACTCAAGTTAACGAAATGTCTCACTTAGCAACATAAATTTTGGGCTCAATTGGGGTGGTAAGTCGAGGACGAGCTGTATTCCACCCCCACCCACCCCAATCACGTTCCCAACCTCAGGTTCGAAGGGGAAGAAAAAAATCTCTGTGGACTGAACAAGCTGCCCTTTCCTATTCTTCTTCCACTCCACAGGGATCCGGTCGGAGGAAGCCGCCCCCTTCTCTTGAGACCCTTCGGCGATTGCAAATTCAAGCGATTGCAAATCAGCCAGGCGCGGTCCCACCGATTTCAGTTGATATCAGCAGTGATGGTGGTGCACAACTCAGAGGAACGGAACTCCTCTGGCCCCGGGGCAAGGATGGAAGGGAATTGGCCTCCAATCAAGCCACTGGTAGCCGAACTAGCCGAATGACTGTGCTGTGTATGCTGCGGAGAGCAAACCGAAATGACTGTGGCTTAACTACTGCCGAGACCAAATGGCCGACGGCGGAGTTTGTTGCGGGGTGGGGGGGGGGGGGGGAGCGGGCTGGCCCAGTTGTTTGTAAATAAAGGCGTTATTGGAAAACTTTCCCAAGCTCTTTCTGTTTGCCCCGGTGACGTCAAGAGGAAGGCGGGGTGGATCCGGGGTAGGTTGCTTCTCTTCGGAAAACTCCTCCCGCCCTCCCCATCCGGAATTGTGGTTTCCAGGAGCGCATGCGCAATTGGCTGACTCACAGGCCTCCCGCTCTTTGTGACTTCCGCGAGTGTGCAGCCTCCCACCCCCTCCTGCCGTGCCGTTGCCAAGAAACGGAAAGGAGCTGTGGCGGCGTGACCTACCGGCAGGCTGGAGTAGATCGTGGAGGCAGGCCGGGGAGAGGGACGGAGTGTATGTTCGTGTGGGCATCAGCGTGGGCAGCCCGTCACAGGCAGGTAGAACTCGTGTTTAACAGCGCATCCCCCACCCACCCCCAATGTTCGCATATCCTTTCCTAGAGTCTGCCTCTTCCGGTGGATGCTTAACTCCTCTCGAATGGATATCACTCGTCTAACATTTGAGCCATGCAAAATTGGCTGCCTGATAGGAATTGATTGATACTTTGGAAACTGAACAAGGAGAGATTCAACCTGGAAATAAGGAGGAATTTTCTGACAGTGAGACCAACCAACCAATAAAACAGCTTGCCTTCGGAAGTTGTGGGAGCTTCGTCGCTGGAGGCTTTCAAGAAGAGATTAGACTGCCATTTATCAGAAATGGTGTAGGGCAGGGGTGTCCAACCTTGGCAACTTTAAGACTTGTGGACTTCAACTCCCAGAATTCTGGGAGTTGAAGTCCACAAGTCTTAAAGTTGCCAAGGTTGGACATCTCTGGTGTAGGGTCTCCTGCTTGGGTGGGGGGTTGGACTAGATGACCTACAAGGTCCCTTCCAACTCTTGTTAATCTGTTAAAGCTTCTAAGTTCAGAGGCAATACTGTATGCCTTTGCGTTTTAGATAATAGGGAAATAACAATTGCTGGTGGTTTCATAAGGGTGAAACCATAAAATATTTTTAAAATTCTCTTGAAATAGTGTATTGTTTCATACACCAGACTTTTAACTTATAGTAGATATTTCTTCTATAAGTCTGAAATGTTCTTAACTGATTAAAAAAACTCTCCTCTACATGAAACCAATAATGAAGGCTTGTCTGTGTTTCATTGATAACACATTCCATTACAATTTTAGTGAAGCAGTGGCCTGTCTACTCATTTGTTCCATCCATCTAATAGAATCACAATGAGGAAATCAATAGCAAGTATTGCTTTTACGGTTTCCCACATTATGTGAACAATATGAAAAGGAGGTCTTTTGTAATCATAGCTCCTACATGTTAGAAAAATTCCATCAATGACAAACTGCCATGTTTTTATAGGCACTAACTCTTGAGGCCTTGCATGCTAGAGTCCCAAGTCACATTTAAAATTAAATGTTTGTGTTGAAATATGCACACTTAATTCTATCTGGCAGAAACAGCACTTTAAACTTCAAGACACCTCTTTCTGTTATAATGGGGAAAGCAATTTTGTGCTAATCTATATGTTTTAGACTTCAGGTCTTTTTAGTTCCAGCTAGTAAAGGATTGTAGAAGTTGTAGTCCAAAACTTCTGAATGATGCCAACCTGCTTGCCTTGTTTTGCCTGCTTAAAGCATATCTCTTGGAACCTGGTATGAGACATCAGTGTAAATGGCTGGGTGCTCCTGCTATCCTGCTTCATCTCTGAGAAATTAAATAAGAGGCTTATACACTATAACTCCATCAAAATCAGTCCTACAGCAAATTGCAGAAAAGTCTAACCTGCTTCCATCCCAGAAGCAATACATGAACAGTAAAGCCAATCTACTTGATATAGTTTTACCAAATTATAACATTTTGCTAAAGCACTCTGAAATAAAACACAATGACCTGTTGATATTTTTTTTCATTAATTAACTCTTATATCTAATAATTGGCAGTATCCTGCTCTTGAATATTGACAAAACCTCTTACATCAATAGACTAGTCTTAGATTTGTCTTGTTAACATTGAATTACTTTGAAACTGCGCAATTAATGCATTTTAGTAGCAAGTCAAAGGGATCAGATCAGAAAATAAACTACTGGATTTTACATGTTAGATTTTTTTCCTTTACAGAACTAAAGTTCTTGTTCAGAGCACAGTTTTGTGTTTGCTTAATTTTACTAAATACCAGCTTTGGTAAGATGGTCCCACTTCCTACAATAGCATTGTGAGAAATACATTATTACTCTTGTGTTAATTATGAATTAGAGAAACATATGGTAATAGTTTAGGAAGGATTCATGGAGCTAGAAAAGGACAGGGCTTGTTTTCTGGATCTTTTTATAATTTCCTCTCCTTATTTCACTGAAATTAATGCTAAAAGGAATGATTAAATCACTTGATATAAGTACTCTGGGTTCCTACAATTTTTTCTTGAACAGATGAACATTATATATGTATAAAATGTATCATACATGTATAAAACTTATTCAAGATTGTCAGACTTCTTTCTGGCTCTAGCAAGTAAGTTTACTTGGTGAACATTGAATTGAATTTAGGTTCTCTCAGTTAAGGGAACTCTGGAAAAATTGAACAAGCTATTTCTTTGACACTCACATTGGTTACTTCATTAAAAGGTATCTTCATTATATCTTTTCAGTTTAGAACAGGGGTAGTCAACCTTTTTATACCTACTGCCCACTTTTATATCTCTGTTAGTAGTAAAATTTTCTCGAACCACCCACTGGTTCCACAGTAATGGTGATTTATAAAGTAGGGGACAAAACCCCTACTGCCCACCATGAAAGGTGGAACACCCACTAGTGGGCGGTAGGGACCAGGTTGACTACCACTGGTTTAAACATAATTTCAGTTTTGTAATGTTTCAAATAGCAGGTGGCATCCATACTTGAAATATAATGTATAGGAATCTGCTAGATGTTTCTGTGATGATATATAATAGATTAAAAGAGAAAGATACCTGTGTTCTTTATTGAAGAATCCTAATACCACAGGTCTTTCCTTAGATAAGGAAATATGTACATGAGGCTGGGCAAATAATTGAATAGGATTATTTTTTCCACAAGTGAAGCAACTTTTATATCTGCTCTTCAAAACAGCCATTTCATTAGCTATTCTGATGGAAGTGTCTTCTGGGCATGCACATGAATAACTCAGAAGATCTTAGAAGGACTTCTTAAGTAATTGCAGTGATGCTTTGAACAACTGTAGTGGCTTCTTACTGTTTCAGGAGCAGATCCAGAAGGGTACTTCACAAGCAAAGTATGTTATCAAATGAGCACAGTGCCATAATTCCTTCCCAGTTTATAAGCTCCTAGTTTATTAACTCTTTTAATGTGGCTATTTTTCATCTGGGAATGTGCATAAGATTATTTCAAATTGAGAAATATAATTAGACAGCTAATCCCATTTTCTATTATTGAATTATAATGAAACAAAGGCTAATATAAATTTATTTCTTACTTGAACTAGTGAGTTGACACATACAAAAATACCAGAAGCCTTATGAAACAGCTGCATGAGAATAAAGCTGGGGGCCAGCCCCGTAAGAAGAATTCCTCTGGTAAGAACAGTAGGACGCCGACAGTACAGACTCCAGATGACAGTGGGCAGGTCAGTATCTTAAATCGAACACTCTTGGCCCAAAAACGATCTCTACAAGGTTTGAGCAGCATGGCAGGTGCTGCTGCAGGAAGTGCCGATGATGCCAAAAGACCAAAGCTCTTGCCTGAAGTGAATTCACCTAGCCAAGAATCTGAAGAGGAGTCAGATGACAGCGATTATGAGAGAGTGGAGAGTGATAATGATGCCAGTGATACTACAGAGAGCAGTGAAGATGATGGGGATGAAACTGGAAGTGATGCATCAGAAAGTGGTAATGAAGACACTGAAGAAACTGCAGGCCAGCTTTCAAGGCCTGATTTAACAAAAGGTAAAGATTGATGCCTAGAAAAATGCAATAAATTGTGCATCTCTGTGTCACTGATCAGCAGTTCTGAGCTTTTCTTTCTTCTAAACAATCTTGGGATCATGTCAGTGAACATAAACCATTTGCTTTGTTTAATGGTCCTCAAACTGTTCTCTTGATTGTTGGCTTTGTTGTATCTATCACTTTTGCTAGCGCTGGCAAAGGGGTATCCTTTCTGCATTGACATACTGACATGCTGCACATCTCTATATGTTGCGAAGATGCCAAGAAAATGGGATAACCATTCAACAGCTTATTTCAATCACTCTAATTGAATGTTTTAATCAGAACAAAACAATAAGGCTCATAAAAATACGGGACAACTAGCTTAAATGGTTGTATATATGCTGAATAATAAGGGGGTCCAGACTTTTCTTCCAGAATAAATTCAGCTTTCCCTGCAAAGCTTATCATTATTATTCTGTTGCAGATTAGAAGACAAAGGAAAGGACATTTAGAAAATAATGGCTTATGTAATAAAATTAAGTGGATTTCTTGCAAAATGAGATTTGAATTGAAAATTTCCAGATTCACATACTTAACCATTGCTGTAGGTTGCTTTTCAGCAACAGTGTTACAGATGAAAAGTGTAACAATCTGTAGTACTGGTTATCTTTAGAAAGAAGTTCAATATTTTTTCATAATGGTATGTGAGAAATTTCTTAAATCTGAATCAAATGAGTTATAAAAAATGAGTAAGTTATTTTCCTTTCATTATTATGATAGTAGGCTAAAGGATTAAATTAAATTCCCATGTACAGGTATACCTAGCATGTAGTTCCGTGTGAGGTAAACAATTTTTCACAAAGTGCAGAAAAAGAGTAAAAAGTAGTAAGCAAAAGAAATTATTGGCAGAAGATATAAGAATTGATACCTTTTAAAGTCTAAAACATTCTGGTGTTTTATCTGTTCTGTATCATAGTTATATGAAATCACATGCCCCTGGTTACAGACATGAAAATATGTGACACTCTTTGATAATCTCTTTTCCCAATATTATTGCTTGTTGAAAATTCAAAGCCTGATGAATAAAACAATATTGGGAAATGAGCATTGGTGCTGAAAATGAGCATTTTTTCATGAGTCATATTGACTGCCGCAGTTAAGTGTCTGAACTTTACAATAAATCAGTTTAGCTACCACATAAAAGCCAACTTTGCCTCTTGATAATTGTGTAGATGTTATTTTCATTGTCAGGTCTTTATTTTCATTGGCAGGTCTGTTGAGAATTAACTGCAGCGTAGAGTCATAAATAGATGCTTCAGCTTTCAGCCAAAACTAGTGTGGGGTCTCCTTCACAGAATGAGCTTATTAAAGCATTGTGAAACTGTCGGCAAGAAGCAGCCAGGAGCATTAATAAAGAATAAATGAAGCATGCTTTTTCCATCTTGAATATACATTTCCTAAATGTAATAAGCAGTATGATATGGTGCTCATAAATGTACTTGGTTGAGACTTCCTAAGGCAGGGTTTAAGTTGGTATTTGAATTCTTGTTTGGATATCCAGAAAGATTAGGCTGTGATGAAATCCAGCTGATCAGAATCTGACTTGACTGTCTTTCAAAGCAGTGAGATTGGATGAGAAGACATGTACATTAAATATATTTAAGTGATGTTCGATGTTGATCCATGTTGTTTTCACTAGCATAATTATTATAGAGCCCAGAAATCTTTTCAAATGAGAATTGAGATTGTTTTTATGCTGATAGTTTGCCATCATATGCAAAGTCTAAGAAAAATAGCAGGCCGGGGGCAGGGTGGGCGGTTGGGAGAGGGATAATTAGTTGTCATGTATAATAGTAATATGTGGCTATAGATGGCACCAAACCTGGCCATGGCAAAAATTCTGTTGCAAGGAATACAGGAAATTATTTAAGAACAAAATAAGTACAAACAATTTAGTTTCAAACTTAGATAAGTGAGAAAGGGGTCTGGTGAGAGGTTTATATGGTGGATTGCTATAAAATACATGCTTTTGTTTATTCATATTATTGATACATAACATGTGGAAAGCAATTTTTGATTGTGAAAAAAGTAGAGGAGCTTGTAAACACCCTATATCAATATCACATCTAATACATGTTAAATATGACCCCCAAAATGAAAGTAATCAGTATCCTGAATTCAATAAACTGAGATTTTGCCATTCTGTAACTGTGAGAGAGGGCTCCATAAGAGTCTTGAGAGAAGGGAAAAACTAAGAGTTAACATGTTGAAACTGGAGGAGTGAAGCAATGGAATATAATATGGATGTTGCTTCTTCATTTGTTTTAATATAATTTTATTAAAGTTTTAATAATTCTTTTTATAATCTATGTCAGGGGTGTCAAACTCGTGGCCCACGGATCAGATGCGTCACGCACTAGCCACTCCCATGCCCGAGTTAGCAAAGGAAAAAAACATCACAATATATCATGTGACAACATGAATTTGACACCCCTGATCTATGTAATCATCAAGAGAAATTGCAAGTTAATTTTTTTTTTAGTTTCATGCAAAAATTCTACAAAGGATTTCCAGTTAGCAATAAACATAAATATTGTCTTTTCACTGATCAAAGAAATCAATTTAGCCAACTCAGTAAGTTCTATAATCTTCATCAGCCATTCCTCCACTGTGAGCAATGCTGAATTTTTCATGTACAGTAGCAGTCGACAACTTTTTTGGTCCTGCAGACTGGTGGTAGCTTTGGTGGTTTCTGCAGCAGAGGGGAATGGTTTCTCACGTGCAACCTAAACCCCTGGCAAGTGCAAATAAAGTTTAGCACATTTGGTCTCCCCTCCCCCCTCCCCCCACCACTTCAGCAACACAGTTCCCAATGAGCCACGGTCCGGTAGCAGTATACAGTATACAATATACAGTTTCCATATACAATAATGTCACTGCAGTTATCATGTACTTAACATTTTGTCAACTGTTTTTCAATCAACTCCAGGCCTCAATTGTATATTAATATTTAAAATCATCTGAATCAGTGTATGCATTTGAATCCTGAATTTTCTATGTTCCTTACAGGTCCTCCAGCATGATATAATGTTCTTTTTGTTCACATTTCCAACATAAATTTGAAATGCCTTTGTACATTTAGGCATTTTCTGTAGTGACATATACCCAAACGTATATCATTTTACAAAAATTATATTGAAAATTATAACATATTGTAAATTTAAATACTTTCAGCCACACATTTCCCCTTGTTCCATCTTTATAGAGGTAGTCCGTGATTTACAAACATTTGTTTAATGGCCAAAGTTACAATGGCCCTGAAAAAATGTGAATTATGACTGTCTTTCACACGACCATTGCAGCTTTCCCTTGGTCACATAATCTGCAGTGATTCACTTAAGAACTGTGGCAAGAAAGTTGACAAAATGTGGTAAAACTCACTTAGCAAGTGTCTTGCTTAGCAACAGAAATTTTAATTTCAATTGTGGCTGTAAGTCAAGGACTTACCTGTATTGTAACTAATTTTTAGCCCACTTTATCATACGTTCTTTCACTTGTTCCTCTTTTGTTTCAAATTTCAATAATCTTTTTAGTAATTATATGTTCATCGTTTGCACCCAGTTTTTTTTCATACTCTTAAAATGTTCAAAACCATAAATTATTTTATCTACTTTAAATATTTCTAATATCTAGATCCATTTCTAAATCTTTCCAAGAACAATATTCGTCTGGCATCAGTTCTTGATTATATTTCACATTCCTCTTGACAAAATTCCAGTATTTCACGATAAACTGAGCATTTGTGTTTGCTGTTATTTCTTCATCTATAAAATGCTTCTTGTGCTGAAAACCCACAAAGGTGTTTTTAGAGCACAACCTGAGTTTGTATCTGTTCCATATTCTCAATATAGCATGTCTAACATAATGATTTTAAAAATCCATACTAACCGTAACTTTATTGTACCACAAATATCCATGACATCCAAATGTCATGTCCTTCTAACTTTAAAAGCCTTTTGTTTGTCAACAACATTCACTGTTTCATCCAAACCAAGCAGGCAAGGTGCAAACTATATTTTCAAATAAGGTGAACCCAAACATCCTCTTTCCTTTGCATCTTGAAACAAAGTGTTTCAACAAGAGAAAGAGAAAATGCCAGTTCACCCCTCTTTTTCTCTTTTGTCTTCCTTTACCCTACTTTTGCCTCATGTGGCACTGTGTTGTACTGCCACCATCAAAATCAACATCTTTATAGTTAGTCAGCATTGCATCTGGCTCATATTACCTTTATCTTTTGTTTTGTAAAATTGACTAGTTGTCTGGACTCTGTGATTGTAAATATTAAACAAAAACATTCCTATGAAGGACTGGTTGGCTTGTCTAATTGAATTCCAGTTTGTTCAAAAGCACTTTCACCAAAAAAAAACCCCAACCTTTTCAAATAATTGTCCTTTTTATCCTTTTTAAACTTGCTTACACTGACTCTTTGTTAAGCTTTTGAATGAAAGCTTTCAAGTCTTTTAAAAACTTTTTTCTTTATTCCTTTGTAATCCAGAAAAAAATAATATTTCACCGAGTAGAATTTTCTTATCCTGCTGCTCAGAAAAATCTCTCTGTAGCTGTAAATTAGTGACATCCAAAATAGTTTTAGAAATAAGGCTTACAGGCTGCATTAGAGCTGTGAGCTTGATTGAAATTCCTCAACTCCCAGTCATGCAGCTCATAAGCTAACTGCAAAAACTTTGGTTCCTGCAGTCTGTTTCCGGGGGTAACTGTCAAGAGTACCAGTGGATAATCTTACAATCTCACTTTTTCCCCAAGAGATTTTGCCAACCAGAATTTGCTTTCTAGCCACCCATTTAGTTATGATGCCATCCTCACTCCTTCAGGAATATCTAGTTTGCCACAATTTCTCACATTGTGAAGGAACCAGTTGGCTTTTCTTCACATAATACCTGCTTTTACTGGTTCATGAAAATGGATATAATTCAAATTTGTACCCCGTCTCCTGTCTACCA